GAGCGGTTCCATTTGAGCTTTTGCACTTTCAGTTTATTTTATTTTTCCTGGCCCCTCTACATGTTAGAACCATAATTTTACACATTAAATGTGTTTTTTCATTTTCCCTTTTCTTTCACTGTAATGATGACCGATTATTCCTTGTGGTGTGGCAAAGTAACATAAAATAATATTTGCTTAGTTTAATTATGAGCAAACATGTACATCCTCCATAGTTTCAGGGTCATTTGATATCCAAGCGTCGGCTGCAGAAACGAATGAGACGTGGTTCCGCTCGCTGTCACCGTCGCCTCACTTCCGCAGTCGACCTGTGGTTGCCACACGGGTTGCCATGGTAAGAAACGTCCACACTCACTAGGCCCCTTATTCACCACGGGCGTTGACTGACAGCTGTATGAACCAATGCGCGGTCGAGAAACAGGAAGCTGACCAATGGAAATGCAGCAAAGGGGGAGCTGATGTTAGGTCGAGAGCGCAAGGAGCGGCAGCAGGTCCCAGCAGCTGTGATACGGCAGTGAAGCAGACTAATGGTAAGAAAAGTACCAGACACAAATACTTTGCTTCGCTGCCACCAAGTGAGCCTCGTAAATGTCCGCAGTCTGCGTGTCGTCTACTTTCAGTGAGTCTATTCAATGCACGGCGGTCTGCTCTCTTTGTGTGGGCACGGTACCGTTAGCAACGGTGCTACCCGCAGTGCTGTGTGTTGTCTCCTAGCATCACAGCCTGAGACTGAACATCCTGCTCCGGGTGACAGCACAACATTCATGTACCTACAGGGTGACACACCAGCGAGATGTCTGAGCTCAGCAACAATAATACAATAATAATGGTAACTTTGTGTAGCACTTATCTGAACAAGGTTCCGAAGTGCTTCACAAAATCCATGGCAAAAAAAATGAATGATTAAAAATAAAAGGTATTCAGTTCAGTTCATAACATATTAAGATCAAGGACTTCAGATTTATAGAGAAACCCAACAGTTCCCACAATGAGTCCTTTGGTGACTGTGGAGAGAAAAACTCCCTCTGGAAAAAAAAAAAAATCTCTTGCAGATCCAGACTCAATGTGGGCAGCTATCTGCCTCCACTGGTTGGGGTGAGAGGAGAAAGATGGGGAGGAGAGGGGGAGAGAGACCAGGAACAGTTCTTTTAACATCATATTTAAGCTCTGTCAAACTGGTTGTTGAAAATAATAATCTTTAGTTGTACTTTGGTGTCATCAGGTGTTTCGGCCTTTTAATTACAATAATGTTAAAAGCCGAACCTGAGGCTGAAGGTATATTTGAAAATCTACAAAACTATTGCAGCTATATGATAGAACCTAATCGTTTTGAGTATATCATTTGTTTGATCGCTCTACAGACCCAGCACGAGGCGCCACTCATTCTAGTAACATGGACAAATACGAAAAGGTGAACAAAATCGGGGAAGGCTCATTTGGAAAAGCCCTCCTTGTCAGATCAAAAGAGGATGGACACCAGTATGTCATCAAGGAGATTGGCATATCAGGAGTAAGTTTAATGCATATGATTTCACAAGCTTTACATGTAACCAGTAGAGCTCGCTTCCACTACCACGTCCCTTCATCCATCCTCTTTCTCTTTTACCTTGACAGATGCCAAGCAAAGAGAGGCAGGAATCTCGAAAAGAAGTCGCTGTTCTTGCCAAAATGAGTCACCCCAACATTGTCCAGTATAAGGATTCTTTTGAAGGTATTCACATGAATTAATACATCACTTCATGTCTTCGCAACAACCAGAAAGAACCACAGAGATGAGCTTCTGCACTTGTTTCCCGATGCACTCAATATAATGAGTATAACATTGCTTGGCTCTGAATTCTCCACTTTTCAGAAGGCGGCTGTCTGTTTATTGTGATGGACTACTGTGAGGGCGGAGACCTCTTCAAGAAGATCAATTCTCAGAAAGGAGTACTGTTCTCAGAAGATCAAGTAAGCCATTATCTTTTTGAGAACACCATGAGCTTCCAAGACATACTACTACTGATGACAGGCTGAAAAAGCGTTCATCATGTATATCACATTGATATTGCATCTTAACTGATGCTATTCCATATCTTTGTACTCCAGTCTTTGACATTTATTTAGACTATTTTAATGTTTCTGTATTTTACCTAAGTGGTTCAGTCATTGGATTTGCAATCGTTTTCCTTTGCCTAGATCCTGGACTGGTTTGTGCAGATTTGCCTGGCGCTGAAGCACGTTCATGATCGTAAAATACTGCACAGGGACATCAAATCACAGGTATTGCTCTACGCACCACATGATCTTTCCTCACTGATTACAAGCAATGATTTGTCATTTATCATAAAAATCTACCTTTCATAATGTCTTCACAGAATATTTTTTTAACAAAAGATGGGACAGTACAACTTGGGGACTTTGGAATAGCAAGGGTACTAAATAGGTTTGTACTTATGTCATCTAAATAGATCAGCAGATCCTCATAAAGCCAAGATTTGGGAATAGTTAATCATCCAACAATTTGGTTTTCATTCTCCTCTCATTTTCAGCACTGTAGAACTGGCAAGGACGTGTATAGGAACACCGTATTACCTATCACCAGAGATTTGCGAAAATAAACCATACAACAACAAAAGGTAATAACTTGATGCTCTGGAACACTATGTTGTATTTGTAGCATTTGTGGTGTAAATGGATATGTAATTGTTATCCTGAGGACAAGCACTTTGCCCTATTGAACAATGAGTCATGCATGAGGTAATGTTAATGAGTTAGAGTTGGTGGCTCCTGGGTGATGTAAAGGTATCATGTCTCTGCTTTATTGAGTGAACCTGCCTGTGTATATCTGCAACAGCAAGCAAGTATTGATTTTAACATGTGTGTAATTGAATCCACTTCAGTTACAGCCAATTCATTTAATGAACCGACGACTCAAAGTTCAATGTGGTGTTTTCTCAGCAATCAATTATTTTTTCTCTTCCGAATTGCAAACGACTGACAAATGTAATCCTACCCCTGAATTTTTCCCCTGCACAATCCATTTGTATGCTCTCTCCTCTTACTTTCCCTACTCTCCCTCCATCTGCAGTGATATTTGGGCCCTAGGGTGTGTCCTGTATGAAATGTGCACTCTTAAGCATGCAGTAAGTATTCAGTGTGTGAGTGGTTTACTAAATAATGTGGCTATGATGTTTTTTATATATTCTGTATGTTTAAGGGTTAACAAGCCTAATTTCAAAGAATGTGTACCGATATGTGTTTCCTAAAAATTTCAATCACACCATTACTGCACACAGTATGACTACTTGGTTTCCCTCACTGATATCTCCATACGGCTCTGCTCTGCTTCTCAGTTTGAGGCTGGCAACATGAAGAACCTAGTTTTGAAGATCATTCGCGGCTCATATCCTCCCGTGTCTGTTCACTACTCCCAAGAACTCCGCTCTCTCTTGGCACAGCTGTTTAAACGCAACCCCAGAGAAAGGCCATCAGTCAGCAGCATCCTTGACAAAACGTTCTTGTCCTGTAGGATAGAGCGATTCCTCACACCACAGGTACAACTTGTTGAATACTGTCTGAATTTTACATCATCTAGGCTGTATATGCATTTTAATAGAATTCTTTACTGATTCCAGCTCATTGCTCAGGAATTCCGCCACACTTTCATTCACAAGCAGCCTAAAGCGGCTGTGCTGCAGGGAGCACCAGGTAAGTAAGAACTGCTACTGAATTTGAAATGTGAGGATACTTTTTAAAACTTAGAGCCTCTTTAAGTTTTATTTTATTCTAGGATCTTTCAAATGGAAAAAAATTTTTTTTTGAAAAAGAGTGTGTGAGACAACTGACTTCCTCAATAAAGTACTCTTATGAGAGGTATTTGTTGAAATCCTACACTGCTTTAACATTACAGTACTGCAAGTACAGAAAGAGATTTAGAGCTGTAAAAGACTGTTGGCTTCCACACACACCTCCCTCACCTGTGAATGAGTCTTGGTCTCACATTGTCCTGACATTTTGTGTCAAATTAAATAGTTTCATTTTATATAGTGTAGGAAGGTTTGCTGCCTCACCCCAAATCATACTACTACAGGGAACTAAGACCCGTTCAGACCTGGTGTTAACATCTGTCCTGAGATATCTGATCGAGTACCTGTCTCTCAGGCAGGATGGAGCAGTTTCTGATCACTACTGTTTGCAGTCATTTTCATGCTTTTTTTTAATTTGCAGTATTGATACTTACTTATTATTTTCAGTCAGCATGGTCACACGCAGTTTCTGCTGTTTTTTTTCAC